AAGAAAGAAAGAAAGAAAGAAAGAAAGAAAGAAAGAAAGAAAGAAAGAAAGAAAGAAAGAAAGAAAGAAAGAAAGAAAGAAAGAAAGAAAGCCCCTGGTAGCATCTGGAAATGTTTAAATGATAAATGGTCTGAATTTATATAGCGCTTTAGACCAAAGTGCTTTACACTACAGACATTCACACACTGATGTGGTAAGCTACAATGTAGCCACAGCTGTCCTGGGGGACACTGACAGAATCACCGGACCCTCTGACCACCATCAGTGGGCAAGGTGGGTGAAGTGCCCAAAGACACAACAACTGAGACATCTGGAATGGAGGATCGAAACATCAACCCTTCAGTTACAGGATGACAGCCCTAACCACTCCGCCACAGCCACAGAAACCAAACTGTTTTTGCCCACCAGTGAAACAAAGACTGTTAAGGGGTTAATGTCCGATATTGATTTCCCACTTTTTAGCTTTGTGTTTCTGTTTTGAGAGAGGAGATGGTTGGTCAAGTTGTATCTGTTTGATCATGATAGTGTTAGTGACGCTGTGCAGACAGGAATAACTGAAGTAGAGTCATGTCAGCGGTTTGGTCGTTTTTTAGGGTATCCAAAAAAGACGTGTGTTTGTGTGTATATGTATATAAATAATTTGTGTCTTTGCATAATATTGGTAAATATTGGTTATCAGCCATAACTGCAAAAATTATATCGGATATCAATATCAGCTGAAATTTTCATATCAGTGCATCCTTACTAAAATCATATTATTATGAAAAGAAGCAGTGTTGTACCCATTTGTAAACTATGTTATGCCTGACATCATGTAAGATGTAGCAGTATTTGCTGGGAATGGCTCTCAGCTAACACACTAATATTCAGCTCAATATCTGTAAAATTAACTGAGTTAAAGCCATCTTTCTGTTGCCTAAAGTTAGTAATTTGTGGTGGCCTTTTTAAAATGTGTTGAGTCCAAAAGCAAAAGAGTTGTAGTCGTACATCCAAAGATTACTTCCTGAAAGTTTTGTCATAATCCATCCAGTGGTTCATGAGATATTTTGCTAACAGACAGCTTTGACTCTAATAGTTAACATCATAGTTTAAAAAAACACATTATGCCATCAGTTTGAGCTCAGAGTTTGTGTTGATCAATAAAAGATAATCACACTTTATAAGTCACAGAGAACTGAAAGGGAAGTGATTGACAGTGAAGTTACCCAGGCACACACCCTCATTTAAACCAGAAGAAATGTAGGACTTGAATTCAGACTACAGAATATTTCTGTTTTCCTCCTGCCCAGCCTCGTCTTCACATCAACAATTTATTGCACCTGACTGTGCCATCGCGCTCGCCCCAATCAGCTCATATTTGAGCTGCAAACCTCACGTGCACCGAGCAGACAGAAATAACAACCAGAGCCTGAGAAGCAGAATGCAGACTTCAGAAGGAGACAAAAAGCCTTTAGATGGCAGCACCTGGAAGGGTTTATTACAAGAGAATGGCATCTTTATTTAGCGGAGGTGTGATGCACGAGGCTGCCTGCGAGCCCCATTTACAACTTGCTGTGTTTGCAGCAGCATCCACTTTGCAATATTTTGTCATAATTACACTCCTACAGATAGTGAGAATTACACAGTCAGGGTTTAGGTGCGAGGCTGAGCTGTAAACAGTAACTTTTTGTTTGGATCTGAAGATGTGAAGTGTGTTTTGCACAGCACCATCATATGTAGTAACAAAAGCCTCCAACTTCACTGACAGAGTAGTCATATCAAAGTATGTGTTTATGTGTTATAGTCTCAAATGGCATTTTAATGCAGTGTGATAAAGGAAATTGTTCAGTTCTGCTTTTGTTGGACCTCTCGTCAGCTTTTGACACTGACCATCCGACCCTGTTAGATAGACTGAGGAGTTGTGTTGGTATCTCAGGTTCTGCTTTAAAATGGTTGTCCTCTTTATTATCTGATATATAAACCTTTTTTGCTTCATCTTCTTAGATCCCATGCCGGCCCTGTTCTTTTTGGTGTTCAGCAGGGCTCTATTTTGGGGCCACTGTTATTTATTTCTGCTTTATATGCTCCCTCTTGGTTTGATCCATTCATCTTTTATGGAAATTTCCTATAATTGTTATGCTGATGATATTCAGTTGTACATCTCGTTTTTTCCAAATGAAGTTGCAAAACTGTGCATTTTACTACATTGTTTGGCAGTGGTGGGATGTAACTAGGTACAAGTACTTTCTTGAGTACATTTTTCATGTATCTGTACTTTACTTAAGTAGATTTCATCATGGGTACTTTTGTCTTTTACTCCACTACATTTTACATTAAGTATCTGTACTTTCTACTCCACTACATTTCTGTAATGCGTTGAATTACAAAGTACATTCA